GGAGAGAAATTGAAAAAAAGAAACAAATTCGAAACCAAATATCCATTGGCGCTGTGTTACTGTGCGTATATCACTCTCCCTTTGTGCATGTTCTTTCTCTCTCTCAACGTTCATTTCTTGGTCAGTCATGTTTTATTACTCTCCCATTGTTCATTCTATCATTCGCTCTCTCCATTCATATTTCATCACTCTCCTTTTGTCTTCTGGACTATATATAGAGTAGCACATATTCGAGAGTCTATTGCACAATAAAGTCAGTAATGGATAGAATTCCTTTACACGGCGTATTTGTTTCTTCTCCTATTATCAGTCATCCGAATTGACCCGTGATCAAACTCTTTTTCTCAACAGAATTCACTAGATAATAGTAACATACTGTTACTAGGAAATAGCCAAATTTAACTGAAAATATGAAGAAAATTTTTAAAATTTCTCGGACCGAGCCGGACCGTAAAAAACGCTGACCCGACCGAGCTAAAAACTTTTCTCGGACGACCTACCCGGCCTGAGAAAAAAAGCGATTGGCTCGGCTTGCCTGGTCCGAGGCGGATCGGTCCCGGGCCGGGTCATCGAGCTGGGTAGATCGGCAGAAGCTCTGCTAAACACCTATGTTTGACAGTTAAAAGCAAGTCAGAGAAAGTTTGACTAGGATCGAAATCTTTCAAATGAAGGGGTAAGGTGTTAACAAACATTCCTATCAACGACTGTAGTTCAGATTGATAACGGTTTGCATTAATGGTACCTACCTACATATCTGTTTGTTGACAAAGTTTGAAGAGGAATGTAAAATAGGATGATAACAGGAGCTGATAGAGTGACATTCATTTCGTGTGCATAGTAGAATAAATTATGAACTAATTGGGAGTCGAGATCAATAGTAAATAGACATCCTTCGTTGATGCGTCGATTATTACTTGCACTTGCAGAACCATAATCGTTAAGGTAATTGTAATTCAGTTTCATAGCCAGCTAACTGCTGCAGCCAATAGCTTCGTGCTTCACTCATATCCATATGACGTTCATACTGTGAACAATCTATGTACTGCAGTGGTAATGGTGTCAGTTTTGTTTGTGTACGATATGCTTCTCGTAAATCATTGAGAAATAGGTCTGTCGACGTTCCATCAAATACGATGTGATGGAATAAGAAAAGAATGTAAGAACCCACTAATAATTCCTCTTTGTTCGAACTAATTTGTTGTTGTTGTGCGACATTAATCAAATGACACTTTAACATTTGACCGTTTGTTAAGTCAAATTCAGAGAGAGAAGCAAACTTTTTAAGCAGCAAATCCTGTATACTATAAATCAGTATTAAATTCATAAAACTATCGTCGTTAGACATTTTAGTTGAGGGACGTCGGATGTGTTGTATTAGATTCCCATTACAAGTTGTACCGCATCTATATACTGTGCGAAGAACGGAATGTTTCTCAGTAACGAAGTTCAGAGCTTGCTGTAGACGTTCATTAGATAGTTGTCCACTATCTACTCGAAGTAATAAAGGAATAGTGTAAACAGATAACGTAGATGATGTGGATGCTTTATCTGTCTCAGCCATCGAGGAAAGTAATTTCGTTTCAAAATCCATGCGTTCATCCAGCCAAATACGTTCTTGCGCAAAGGATACAAGACCTAAAAGCAAATGTTATTAGATCTATAGTCTCTTAACACGGATGGAAGAAATAGACAGTTAGATACATAGAAGTACCTTCTTCAATGTTCAACGTGTTCCGTGTCGTAGAAACATCCACACGTTCTACAAGAAATCAAGCGCGAATTAAGCGATCATGAGATAATATCCACCACTTATCTCACTCTTGATTTACTTGATAAATTAATCTGTGTCGATTGTGTCATGAAAGAAGTACTACGCATGCACCTGTTGTCGATTGTATATTACGAACATTGTTAAAAGATGATGAGTTTAATGGTGTAAAATTGCGAAAAGGTGATTCAGTATTGATTGCATTTTACGATGTTCATATGGATGAACGATATTGGAATGTAAATCCACATGAATTTCGACCTGAACGATTTTTGAATGAAGATAAAAATCATAATCCGTATGCATTAGGAACATTTGGCGGTGGCTATCGAGCGTGCGCTGGACAAGATCTGGCAAGATTAGAATTGAAAACGATAATTACTCGGCTCATGCAGTATGTAACATTTGTTGATGGGGGAGAAGAGAAAATTGTGGCGGGAAAATACAGTGTCTAACGCCTACATCGAATCATATAGGCTTTTACATTCGATTTGATTGACAGTATGACTTATTGTGATCATCAAAGAATCTATTAGCAAACAGAGTTTAGTATATTATCGATTTTTTAACTTAATATTTAGAAACGCTTTGTACTTTTATATAATAAAGTTTTGTCTAAATAATAGCACTTTTTACGAAGCATCTAATTGTCCTGAGGAAAAACCGTATGAATTTTTTTTTCTACACGATCTGACAGAGCTTCTCAGGCTGATCAAGAATATATGTAAGGGCTGGTTAGAAAGCGAATGAGATAGCTTTTTGATTGAAGTATTGCCTTCTCATCGATCGTTATCGCCATCTTATACGAAAAGCTCATATTCTTTTCACTTTTACAATAAAATAGCAAAGCCTAGTTTTCACACCGATGAAAATATCTGACTTAAAGACATCATGGAGAAACAACGCCAATTATTTCAAAATATTCTTCTAAAACGACAATTACGCTATACTCGTATCTATCTGTTCCGTTCCATATTACACTCAATAGTTTGTAGATGTATGTTGTACGCTTTATCCCTTTAGTAATACCAAACGTTTTATAGTTACCTGTGTAAATTGCTGTAGTACTCGTTACTGCTTCGTAGTCCTACCCATGGTGTCATGCAAACTTTCCCTTTGTTGCAAAGTCATTCTTAAGCGTGATGTGCTTTTTTTTCCCAGGAAATCAGAAAAGCAGGAATTCTCTTAAATACAGATCAAGAATTCACTATTGTACGCCGTCACACAAATTCCTACACTGAAGCTCATGTGAGCGATCAAGTGATAAACAATCTGGTAAATCACAGATGATCCGAGGTCAAGTCCGAATCCTTCAAAAAAATCTCCAGTCCGAACTCGGACTCGCCCATGTCTGACTGCGTTGAGTCTCTAATAATGCCGTTAATCTTTTGAATTTTTTGTGGTAACTGGGCCGGCTTCTAATTACATGGAATATGAATCTTTAATTTCCAAACAGCCTTTGTTCTAGAAGTTTTTGAAAAGTTTTTCGTATTTTAGTAAATGCCCATTAAAACAAGATCACCTGCGCTTATATGAAAAAGAATTCAGGAGTATAAATATGGCAAGTCTGCTTGGCGCTTGCTGATGAAACGTCCACGGAGAGTTGGCCAATCTGCCGAGTATCTTACCACTTAAGGGCACCCCTCCCCTTTCTCGGGTTTCTCAAGAACGACACGAGCAAAAATTCCGAAACTTTCAGGGTAGATAGATCTCGACTAGCAGAGCAAAAGTTGTCATAGACTCAGAATTCCCGGAGGCTTCCTTCTACAAGAAATAGGGAACGCAAGGGCCAAAAATGACCTGAAGTTTTCCCTTCCCCCGCAAGCATCCAGAATTCATTTTTCATGGCCGCATTTTTTTTTATGTAACAACTGGAACTAAAGCTGGGTGTAAGATACGAATCATGCATACTTGCACTCTTTTTTATTTTTGACTGAAACTTACACCATTCGACAGGAAATTCAACTGCGATCACGGCCATGTAGTTTTCAGATTTTTTGGAGCAATTTTTGCTGTCGAAAAATCGAGAAAATTCGAGAGGACTCGAAAACCGGACAAATGCCCGTTTTTCAAAAATGCTTGCTCGTTTCGCCACAAAATGTTGTGGGCTCCACGGTTAGCATATTCGGATTCAGAATCGAGAACTGAATCTGGTCATGTGCTTTTCAAAGTACCAAAACTAGAGCTGGATTTTTGGCAGAGCCTGAAACCGAGGCATGTCAAATCATACCTGCCGACTTTGCAAGCCTATCCTAGCTCACAGCTTGAGAGATAGAGACTTGCGGCTTTCGCCATGCGATGCGCCGTTGAATAAGCTACAAAACAACGGCCTCCGTTTTTGATAATTTCTTTCCGTCGAAAAATATATGAGTGTTACTAAAAACTTGGCTTAAACGGCATTTTTTCAAAGTCATTTTCCGCTGTTTTTTGCGAGTTTCGCTGCAAACAAAGTTCTTTCGACCGCCTAGGTGTTGAAAACGACGGTGAATCCGGCGGAGACAATTTCAAAACCCCTAGAGGATTTCTACAAGGTCTTTAGGGGTTTATATTAGGATTTTGAGAGGGTTTCTCGGGTAAAAGTCGCTGTTGCTCCGATCTTTGAATTATATTTTTTTATTGAATTTTATGTTATTCGACGTAGAATTTCATTCTGCATCTGAATATGTATAAATGAAGATTCCGTAGTGCATAGCAAGGGAGAAAAACGCCAAAAGCTTTGGATTTTCCAAAAATCCGCAAAAACGTTGGAAAATTTTTTCGGAAAACATTTTTCGAAAATTATCTTAAAATTCAGCCACTTCCGTAAACTAAAAAAATTTTCTGATTCAATAGCTCGATGCAGAATTCAGTTTTCTATCGATCTGCGCAAACCGTAGATTTTTAAAATTAAATTTCGATTTTCCAGAGATGCTTTTGCGAAACCTAGATATTTCGCCTTCACAAACTTTTTCGGAAAATAAAAAGACATGGACTAGAAACAGATTTTTACGCGGAATTCGAATATCAGCTTATTTTTGAATGATGATCTTTCCTTCACTCTCTGATCGCAATTCGTCTTTACCAACTTTTAAAATTATATAATTCTATTATATATATATTATATAATTTCTGACTGATAGTGGCGTAACCAGAATTTCGATCCAGAGGGGGCTAAGCCCAGAAAGTTTTTAAACACTATCAGAGGTAGTGTGAATTTTCTGAAATTTTCTCAAAGTGAACCGTTAGAAAAGAACGTAATCAAGTTCGATTTATTTCAAAAACTAAGAACATTTTCTTCTCATTTTGAAACTCTTTCACTACAAAATACTTGTTCATTTGGATATGTAGTTCCATCTGCAATCAACTGCAAAGTTGTTGGAAATGCTAATGCCATTAGTTCCAATTCTCTGAATAAATCAAAAACAGTTTTCAGCTGTATGTTACTTATAAATGGTTTAATCACAGATATTTCATTTGTTACTATACTACTGTTCAATGATAAATGATCCATCAATCACCATTCGACAGCGCAATTGAAAAAGATAAAATCTCAGTGACTACCATGCACCATAAAACCAAAAATAACAGAACGACGAATGTCAGAAGAATCTGTACGGGCAGGATTCGCGTGCGAAATATGTAGCCCGTGGAATGCGTCAGTAAGGGAACTGCAAACTAACGAGAACAAGGACCGCGCACGTACGTACCGATCAGAACACAAAAAACAAGTGCATGGTATAGAGAGAGCGCATAAACACTAACAGCGTCCATTATTAAAACATAAAAGAGAGCACTTAACCGAAAAGACGCTAATATCCCAATAAAACACTGTTTTTGTGCAAATATATTCTGCTTTAGCCTATCCTCGTTAACGGTGTCCTAGCCAGCGTGTGTATTCAGTATTGTCCGTGGGTTCACTTATGTCCGTAAGCGTTAGAAGGGGAACTACGATTTTCAGATGTCCAGCCATTTCTGTTTTTACAAACTTTCACTTTAATTGTCATCTATCATGCGCAGAGATATGCTTTTGCCGATATATTTATCATCAAAATCGTTGCGACGTATATCATAATCTACATAGGACGTCTGATCGGTATTTAAGCGATATATGTTAGAAAAACGGCTTTTTGTTGTACGTAGGTGTTTTAAATATTATTCTTAGATCTGCAGTTGAATCATTATTAATAATTATGGGTTTAAACTGAAATTTATCCTGAAGCAAATCATGTAGAAAGCAACTATTTTCCACCAAAAAGTTGCTTCCCAGTAATTCGCTACAGGTGTGAAAAAGTTGTTTGTTGTTTGTTTTCTTTCAATGTGCATATGCAGCTGATATCCCAACATCAGCACCCAAGAACAAACAAGCAACAAGCAAGCTAATGACACACGTCAAGTATCTTGTTCATGGTGCACGCCTAGACCCAAACCAATTTGATACTCAGCTCCATCTGCTATGCAGGAAACTGTCGGCTGTAGCTTATGTCATTATATGTTATTTTTGATCGACAGCCCTCTCGCCGTTCATGAGTCAGAAACAGTGTTTATCAAATGTTTCTGATATAAAAGCGTGGCTAAAACGAATTACTCGAATTTTTTACAGTTTTTGAGAAGTTTTAACCAAATTGTTTTGGTGGTATCAGACCACATTTTCTCAAACTTCCTGTCATAAACAGCGAACTACTCAGTTTCCTATAAAAAACTGAAGAATTGCATGCGCAAACCTAAAGTATCGCTAAAAGTTCATTTAGGGTTCGACAACTTTCTTTTTCTCTGCTTTCTTCATCTTTGCTGCAGAGCTGCTTGTGGCCTTTTCACGTTGTTTTGACATTATTCGTAAAGCATATTGTTTAATCATGTTCCCCTGACGTTCAATCCAATTTTTCATCCCTTGTTCAACAAAATAAAAATATCAAATAACATCATTTAATCAACTCTTTTGCTCATTTATACATTTTTGCATTCGTGTAGAGCTTGTATTGTAAATACCTGTCTTTCTTCTCATAGGCTGGGCATCTAAACATCGCAACAAATCAGTACAGTTTTTTTCGTCCCTTCTTGCCGAAAAGACAAAAAACTCGCCCTATGCAGTTAAGGCTATTACATTGTCCGGATCTTCATAGGTTCTTAGATGGCGAGCGAAAAAAGTGCTGAGATATTGCGTTTATTACAATTCATGGTGATATTGCATGCTTTTGGATATAGACGAACTGAACTCCTTATTTTATAAGAAAGCTTACAACAATTACATAAACTGCCATTTCATGACGAACAAAGCTGATATTATTGACGTTTCTCTTTATATAACTAGAAAGAGTATCCGTTGTTATTAAGTATTCGCAGATAGTAGAGAAAGTGTATGAGGCACACACATTGCAAACTAGATGGGAAGTTTACTATAACGTTCCCCGGTCACAATCCTTTAAAAGAAGAATCTAAAATTCCAAATAATCCAAATAATATATCCTTCTCCTTGTGAACTACGAACCTTTTAACCAGTATCAAAATAACCGATAATTCCCTCAGTATTCAGACAGTTCTCACGCTTAGTGCGATAAGGTCTTTTCAGTGCCTGTGTAGAAAAACTTTTGCTCGATCGATCTATGCTAAACAGTCTGGCTTTCTGTTTTTACTCACCGACTGCGGCTCCAAATGGTGGTAAGTTTGTGGTAACTTCTCTTTTTCTCTCTAAAGATAGACATATTTCCTTACCATTCATATTACCTGTTGATATAATATTATGAGAGAGAAAAGACATGCATGTTTGCTATAGCTGATTAGAAAAACGGTACGTCCCTAGCAGAGACGATGGAACCTGTAGGCCTGAGTCTTCGGTGATTCTAAGACGCTCCGCCATCTATGATCTATAGCTGCTAACTTCTTTTATACGATTTCTTACATTCTCTAACTTTTAAACGCTATTAGGTACCATCTACTGTAAACATTGCTGACCTAAATAACGTATCCCCCAGTGCTTAGTTGATTTTCTACCTTCGATTTTACCATGTTTTCTCATTGTCTTGCTTTGCTTCTCTGAAACATTGAAAGAAGTTTTATTATATTCAGCGCAAAAAGTAGCAGAGATGTCGGAATGTAATAAAATACTGTAGAATCGATTACGGCTTAATATAATAGTGCAGCGGTAAACTGAGTCATGTTTTCTGGGTTTTCACTTTTTCACACCCTTTATCTCATCATCTTTGCAGGATTCTCATCCGCTGATGTCTTCAAGACTTTTGGAATCTTTGTAGCCTGATACATAACGGGTCAGAAATGGTGTTGAATGTTTCAACATAAGAATTACCAGAATGAACATGCGGTGTTCCAATGGCAAAAATAGCTGCTGAAAGAACTGAAATATTCTATGAATCTAGAAGGACGCAAGCATGCTCTTCTTATACAGTCGCATCCCAACGTCTTGTAGCTCGTTTTAGTTGTCACACAGTGTTCTATGTCGCAACTTACATGATAAGAGACTAGAGCTAGACACTTTCTCTCACAATATATAGCATATATCACGGCGAGAAGACTCATACTGAGAAAAAGTTGATGAACTGGTGACTCTATACTAACCCGTCGTACTATTCATTTTTACTAAATCAGTGGCGAAAAAGTCGGAATTCTGCTCGTAATTCTCAGTTTTCTCAATTAGAACTCAACTTTTAAGCAATAAAATATCATATTCAGAATCAGGATCAATAAGTGAGTAGACTAAGCTGTATTTCGAAACGTCGAGCTGATTTTCAGTTTTCGGTAAAATCTGCGTAATTTTTCAAAGTGAAAATTCGAAAAAAAATAAAGTAATCGGATGGGATAGAAATAAACATTAGTCGAACCAGTTTTAATTCACCCGTAATTCACAATTTTCTCAAGTCTACAGTCCGAGTCTGACTTTTTTTATCTCGGATTTAGAAAAAATGAATTTTCTTAGCAATGAAGCAAAATTTTAAAAACAGTGAGTCTTACGTTTGAAGCTAGGCTTTCAACGAACCTAATGATGTGCAAATGACGACTTCAGTCCCCTAAGACGAAAAATCTGGTAGACTTAACAAAATCGATTGACCGCACTTTTAGAGCCTGTGTTTGGAACGTTCATCCTCAGCAAGGTTTTAACTTAGAAATTGATCAAACACCGTTTTTCGATTCAGTATTTAATGCGGAATAAGAAAAAAACATTTTAAAGTTTGTAAAATTCTCTGGAACTCAGATACTGAGCTTTTCCTCAACTTTAAGGATTTTTTGACTTTTAAGGTCCTTCAGATATTGTCAATTTTTTCAAAAATACATTTTCTTGATCGGCTCAAAAGACCCTAACCAATGAAATATAATAAGTTCCAAAATAAAATTTTGCTTTGATTTTGCATTGTGCAATTACACTTTTATGAGCGAAACGAAAAGCAAAATCGACGTTATGTCACAGTTCTTTATCCTAAGACCCTTCATTACAGGACTGCTTGATACCAGAGAAAGTAGTGACTTCCTTACTTACCGTCATTACTTGTGAGAATAATTTCTTCAAAATCATCTAAAACGACAATTGGTGTTACTGGAAATGCTCTTTTCTCTGTGTTCAAAGGTTTTCATTTCCCCATTTCTACTTCTACTATAATTTTACTAATCAATAATCGATCAATATTTATCAATCAGTAGAATAAACTGTTGTCAAGACAGTTTTACTAGTTATCGCTTTCGGCTTGTAGAGAACAACAAGAAGCATATATTTACTTGGATGAGGCTTTTCTTCGTGCAAATAATCTTTTGCCTCATGCTCATTTAATGATAATAAATCGTCATTTTTAGGTAATGACGTTGATGTTGCTAGTATTGTTGTTGTTATAATAAATGCATAGACAATGTATTTAATTATCATTTTTCAATAGTATCTATAACTGTCCTTTAATATAACAAATATTATAACTCAATTCAAGCAACATACACACAACTGAGAGTAATTTTGCAAAAACGTGACTCTATATGCAGTATATCAGAGTCTGACTAATTCAATTTACATACTCTTCAGCTCAGAAGTCATCAGAAGATGAAAACTGTTCTCGTGTTCCACATGATAATAATTATGTTAATTATTATTAGGGCTGTCGGAGTTCCGTTAAAAATGGTTCCGTTATGCCACTAACTCAACGTTCTTCCAGTTAGTAGTTATTCTAACTATTAACTTAACAGTTAGCAGTTGGAATAACTAACTAACTTTTTCGTTTAGCAGTTATTCTAGTTACTAACTACTCTAGTTAGTAGTTGTTCTAACTATTAACTGGAATAGTTAGTAGTTAGTTTAACTATCAGTTAACTACTAACTTTCATAAAAACACAATCTGATTGTTTTCTTATAAACTAGCAGAAAAAGGACGGGGGCGATTATTTGATGGAATCAGCCCCTGCTTGAATTCCATCGACACATACATGGTTAGATGCAGAATGAACAGGAGAACATTTCTAGCCACTCGGCTGACCTTAGAAATGCTCACAGAAAAAACTGGATGCAATTAACTGTAATCACTTCTGACACGTATTATCGATCATATTTTCGAGTGTGTCTCTCTCGGCCTCATACCTCAGTAGAACTGTTATATGTCATTCGAAACCTCTTTTTCTGCGCTATATTTCTGTATATCACATATACGGAAATAGTTGTTCTGAGGCCAAGTGTGTTTAGAAATACTTCCGTCTATGGA